TGACAGGCGTGAGCCACCAGTGCGTGTTTTAGAACAGAGCTTTAAGCAGCAAGCCAATATGTTTCTGTTTTCTCAATTGTCTCAATCAGTGACCAGTACTGGCTGTGTTGTTGGTGAGATCAAGCTTCATCTGAAGCTAAAATAGTGCTTCGCAAACTTTAGCCCGAAAATAAATCCCAGGGTGAGCCTGTTGGCCACGGCGCCATGAATGGCTAGATCTTTCCCGCCTGTGACAGGGTGCCCCAAGATTCTGTGCTACGCTTTTTGTGTAGGAAGGAACTGGGGTTTGCTTTGCAGCATTCCCAGTGGCGTAGGCGACTCCCGGCCCCTTCAGGCTGATGGGGGAGACGGTGCGGAGAACACGGATCACGCTGTACAAGCACAAGATGAAACTCGAACGCGCTGGGGCCAAAGCTGGCGTGAATATCTACCAAAGAAAACAAAACTCTGCCAAGGATCAGCGCTGGTGGGGATGTGTGAGGCAGTGAGGAGCGGCAGCTCTCTGGGGAATTTTCACCTGGAAGTGGGTGGGGCTGGGTCTTGTTCACAAAGGCTTAAGGAGTTAGAAAATGAACTTGCCACAGTGGTCCAGCGACTCTTAGACAGCCAGGTAACGGAGATCCATTGAAGCCATCCAGGTGTATTGGAAAGCTCTGGATTTCTTCTATCTTCCCATAACCCCTCAAGGTGGATAGGGGTGAAGAGTTGTGAAAGTTGTTAGAATTCAAATAGACACTTCTCCAACCAACCAGAAAAAAGCCAGAGTAGAGCTGGGGCTCAAGTGTTAGAGCACTAACTTTGAAAAAAGGTCAGGGACAGTCCCAAGCCCTGAGTTCAAGCCCCTCTACCAGCGTGCACACACGTGTGCACGCGCACGCGCGCACACACACACACACACACACTCCAGGCTGGGCACCAGCAGTTCACACTTCTAATCCAAACTACTCAGGAGGCTGAGATTTGAGTATCATGGTTCGAAGCCAGCCCGCGGAAGGAAAGTCCATGAGACTCTTATCTCCAATAAACTCCCTGAAAACTGCGGTGGCTCAAGTGGTAGAGCGCCAGCCTTGAGCACAAACAGCACAGGGACAGCGCCCAGGCCCCGGGTTCAAGCCCCACAATTCACACACACACACACACACACACACACACACACACGACTCTCACAAAAGAACTGTTCTTCAGTCTAATCTGGGAAGTTCTACCCGACAACCGCGGTCTCTTCAGGCAGGGTTGATGTTTCTTTTAGATCTAGCATTGAAAACAGCCTTGTTGCCCACAGCCCAGCTGGGACGCTGGGGCCACTCGGCTCCGCGAAGGACAATCTGCCTGCAGCTGTGGGGAGGTGGTTCCCAGAAGTTTCCAGCACTGCAGCTTCTTCCAGCCGAGTTTCAGGACTCGACTCCCCCTCAGGCAGGACACAAATCCACCCACACGCAGTCCGGGCTGGAGCCCTGGCGGCCTTCCTCCTCCCGCCAGCGCCAGCCCGCCGCCCCTCCCCACGCTCCACAGCGCGCGCCTCTAACCGCCAGGCACGTTTCACAACACTGAGATTCTCTCCACTTCCCTTCCTAAGAATAACGTTTGCGTGAAAACAATTGCAAAGTTGAAAACTGCCTAGACATTTCTTCCTTGAGACATGGATTATCTTTTAATGAGTGGCTCCCTTGGGGGTCAAATATTGGAAAGCCGAATGTCCATAACTATGAATATGGTTTATTTCGTTTGTTTTTATTTTTGACAAGACTTTAGATGCTTAATGGGAAAGAACCTTCCAGGGCTGGGAAGGTGGCTCAGTAGTAGAGCGCTTGCCTTGCATGCCTGAGGCCCTGGGTTCGATTCCTCAGCACCACATAAGCAAAAAGAAAAAAGCCGGAAGTGGTGCTGTGGTTCAAGTGGTAGAGTGCTAACCTTGAGCTGAAGAGCTGAGGGACAGCGCCCAGGCCCAGAGTTCAGGCCCCACGACCAGACCCAAAAAAAAAAAAAAGGAAAGACCTTCCAGGCCCTACTAAAAAGATTTCTTCTGTTGGACCTTGAGCTTGCCATGGGTGGCAGGGTCTAAGCTTGGTTTTGTTGGAAACTGTTGAGGGGACAGGAGGCTTAAGTTCTGCAGAGCAGATGTTTATTGAAGTAAACAGTGGTCGCTTTTAGGGACCATTTCGGCAGCCCTGTGTTTGTCCTGGACTGCAGGCAGAGGCTTGGCTGCAATACCTTTAACAACTATTTAATCAGTAACAACCATTTAATCAGTAATGGGGACAAACATACAGAGGTCAGCTGGGAAAGGTGTGAAGAGAGAAGAATCTTCAAGTAGTGGACTGCAAGTTGGAGAGAAATACACGGTTTAAAATTAAAAAAAAAATACTTCCAATAGGGTGCACACCATGCACAAAGTAAAAATAACCCCAGCTACTCAAGAGGCTGCGTTCTGAGGATCGGATTCGAAGCCAGCCCAGGTGGGAAAGTCCATGAGACTCTTAGCTCCAATGAACCCCTTGAAAACCAGAAGTGGATCTGTAGCTCAAAGTGGTAGAGCGCTAGCCTTGAGCAAAAATGGCCAGGGACAGCGCCAAGCCCTGAGTCCAAGCTCTACAACCAGTAACAACAAAAGTTCAATTTTCTGGGGTTGAAAGCGTATGGAAGTGGTTCGTAGGAATGACAATGGGCTGTCCTTAGGGAGATGAGGGTGAGAGCCTGGCAGGTTTTGGGAGGGATCTGCGCGAGTCCCAGGCTGCCATCCTCTGAGAGTTCGCTGTGGAAAGGTCTGGCGAAAGACACCAAGGCTCCACGCACCCGCACCTCTGCTAGGCCTGAACTGGGCCTGAAGGTTTTCTACTCCTAGGAAGAAATCCTCACTGTAAACAGACCACTGATAACCCCCAGGAGGAGCGGCTCTGGGAAGTGGTGAGTATAACGTTTTAGGCAGGAAAAGGACCACGCGGAGAGAAATAAAAAGGTTGACAGGGAAGTTTATTGGGGTTCGCTCCCAGGCGAGCTCCCTGGTCAGGATCAGAGAGGTCGCCCTGAGTGTAGCTGCAGCAGAGCTTTTACAGGCGAGGTAAAAGCAGCACTTGTAGCGAGCGGGGAGTTGGGGCTTGGAGCTTGTGTGGCCAGTCGGAGCCGTCTTAGGCCAGTGCCCTGGAACAATGGCTGACTCAGATGGTGTTTTTGGTGGGACGTGGTCTTTCTCGGAAGCAGCCTGCTTTCCCCTTGAGCCTGACATTTTCCTGGCTGCCTACTTCATCCAGCGACCTGACACTCGGGAGGAGCCTTCCGGGGCGTCTCCCAGGACTGCTCAGGAGAGGGGTGGCAGGGCTTTTCCTGGCAGCCGGCCTGCCTCCTCACCCAGAAGCTCCCTTCTCCTCAACGATCCAGGGTCCACTTTCCAGAACTGGGACTCCCACACATCCCGAGAGGGAGAGCAAACACGCCCCCTCCAGCTGGGACCCATCCCTCCTGCCCTCCAGATTCCCAACACCTGCTTCTCTGACCTTCGCCCTCCAGATCCGGGAACACCTGCTTCTCTGACCCTCACAGGCCAGAACTCAACGATTAGCACCTTCCCTTCCCTGCTTCCCGGCTCCCAGGCTTCCGGCCTGGGGCTGAGTTGTGTCACCAACTTCCTGCTCCTCCACTTGAAGAGGGCAGATCTTGGCATTTCTCAGCCTTTTCCATAATACATTTTTTTATTCATCTCTAGACTTTATTGGTTCTACCTCTGAAGAGAAATCCTGACACACTCTCTCGACCAGGAAGGGTTAATAGCATCATTCAAGTCATGATGAATAGATTCTCGTCGACAAACAGGACATGAGTGAGAAGGGAAAGCCAGCACGTGGCAACTAGGAAAGGTGACTTAAGGGACAAGAGTAACAGAAATTGTCAGAGAGGAGCAGAAGTGTCACTGGCCAGACAACAGGGATCCGAGTCACAAAGCAGCGACCACCCAGAACAGCACCGGCAGCACCTGGCAGAGGAAATGGGGCGAGCCCCAACTGCTCTTCTACTGAGCTTCCTCTACATTTGAAACAAGACAGACAAAAGATCCATTTCCCAGAACAGCAGTGTTACTCAGTTTACAAGCTGGGCGCAATTTAGGACGAGGGTCAGAGCCGCCGGGCGCCAGCTCCAGGCTGCGCTTTCGGCCTTGCTTGGAAGGAGAGGTCCTTACCTAAGGATCAAGCGAGCGGAGCCGGCAAAGCCACCGCCAAGGCCCGGAGGGGCCCTGCCGCGGATGCGGGGGGCGGTGGGTCCCCCCTAAGGGCAGCCCCCGCGCGTGGGGTCCCGCACCGCGGGTTCAGGATGGGAATTTCTGGACAAGTCCGAAATGCTAAGAAGACCTGCAGCGCTGTGGTGAGTGAGCAAGCCGGCACCAGACAGGCGGACGGACGGACAGGCAGAAAGACAGGCGGGGAGGCAGACAGGCGGACGGACGGACAGGCAGAAAGACAGGCAGACGGACGGACGGACAGACAGGCTGAGAGAGAAGCAGAAAGACAGACCGACAGGCAGACGGGCAGCGGCGCCCAGCGGCGGCCTCCCGGGCCGAGGCCGGAGCTCGGGCCGCAGAGGCCGCACGACAAAGCCCGCGGCGGCCTCCGCCCCCCGCAGCTCCGGCCTCCGCCCCCCGCAGCTCCGGCCTCCGCCCCCCGCAGCTCCGGCCTCCGCCCCCCGCAGCTCCGGCCTCCGGCCCCCGCAGCTCCGGCCGTGGGTGGGCGGGGCCTCCCCGCGCCCGTGCTCTGCGCGTGCGCGCTGTGAGCGCCCCTCGTCCCCGCCTGGCCGCCGGCCGGGGCGCCGGGAGCCGCGACGCCCTCGCGGGGAGCGCACTCAGCGGGCCCCGCCCCTGCGCGGGTCACCGAGCGGAGCCGCCCTCCCACGGCCTAGAGAGGCCCCTGGGCGGCCGGGAGGCGGGGCGAGCGGCGGCTTCCGGTTCCGGGCGCATAGGCCCCACGTGTTCCGACGCGCCGGGCGCCCGCGCCGCTCGGGTTCCGCGGGGCCGTCGGGGCCGTCGGGGCCGTCGGGGCCGTCGGGTGTGGATTGGCCGGGCGGGGCGGAGCCGCCGCAGACGCGGGAGCCGTGAGTGCGGGCGGGAGGCGAGGCGGGAGGCGCCGGCCCTCGCGGCAGACGGGACGCGGCGTCCGGGAACCGAGGCGGGGCGGCGCCGGCCGACGTCGGGCCCCGGCCTCCCGGCCTCCCGGCCTCCGCCCCGCCGCGGCTTCCGCGGTCGCCGTCCCTCCGGAGGCGGGACGCTGACCCCCGGCCCCGGCGCCGCCGCCCGCGCGCACCCCGGCGGGACGCCGGCCCCGGCCCTCACCGGAAGCTGCTGTCGGTCCGCCGGGACGGGGAGGCTCGCGGCCCCCGGGCGCAGCGGAGGCCGCCGTGGACGTGGCCGGCCGTGCGGCCCCTTCCCCGGCCCTGACCCCGGAACTACTTCCGAAGGTGGTGGGGCACCGGCAGCCGGGGTGGCGGGTCTGCGCCGATGGCCCCGCGCGGGGAGCGCGCGAGGCCGGGATCGACCTCGGGGCCGCGCCGCGCCGGCTTGCTCGCCTGCGGCGCTGCCGTCTGTGCCCAAGGCGGAGGCCCTCGGCCCCGCGCCTCCTGGCTTCCAGCCTGGCCCGACCTCGTGTGTGCCCCGATGGCCAGCCCTTCGTGGGGCCGCGGAGCCTTTCAGAGGACGGACACTGGAGAGAGACCTAGAGTAGGACCGACCGCCCTGCAAGGCCGCCTCGCTCCGCCCCCGGCCCGGGGCCGCAGAATGGCGCGGTGCTGCCCCGCGGCCTCCCCGGCCGGCCTCTGCGCAGCCGGGGCGGAGTCGGGCGGACTGGGCGAGGCGGTCGGCAGCGCCGCCCTGCGCTGTCTGTGAGACCCGGAGATCTGGAGCTAGAATTTGCCTCTTTGGGGACCTGGGCTGGGGCTCTTAACCCCGTCAGCCCTCGCTCGCTTCCCGTCCTCCCCCTCTGAAGACTCCTCCCTCCCTTTACTCTCACTGTTGCTCACCTTTATGTGCCTCGCCAGGAAAGGTGTTAGAACTGACTGTAGAAGACGCAGGGCAGAAGCTCCGCAGGGAGTCTTGTGGCTGCAGTCCTGCGGCACTGCAGGGATTCTGGTCTGGAGAGGGTAGCGCTGGCCTGTGGTGTCTTAGAATGCGCATGCTAGCACATCTGAACCCACGGGGAGCGTAACAGACCACGGCCAGAAGCACATTGGTTAGCAGTCTGCTGTGAGCGTTCTCCTGGCCAGTTGAGTGCTGCCGTGGGCCACGTGAGCCCATGGGGCACTGGTCCAGGCAAGAGATGATGGCAAACCAGGCCGGGCCTAGGCCAGGCGGTACAGGGCCACAGTTCAGTCGGGATCTCCCCCGCCCCAGTAGCTCCTCCCATAGTGTGTGGTGGTGGAGATTGGGGTGGGGGGCTGGGTAGTCGTGTGAAATTGTATGTGTAAAGGACCACAGTTAAAGTCAGAACTCTCGATGCCTTGTTTCGCTTCCAGCGTTTGCTCTTGTTCATCTTTCCTTCTCTGTCCCAGGTCCCTTGGGGCAGCCTTTCCGCAGTGTCCAGGCTGGGTCGAGGGGCACTGCCCGTGTGAGCTGTCGATGGTGTGAAGCCCCTGGAGCTGGGAGATGGCCACAGCCTTGGAACCGGAGGAGCAGGAGCTGTGGGAGGAAGAGGGGATTCTGATGGTGAAACTGGAAGATGACTTGGCTTGCAGGCCTGCGTCGCGGCGGGAGGAGCCTGTGCTGGAGACCTCCCACCAGAACTTCCGCTGCTTTCGCTACCAGGAAGCCGCCAGCCCCCGGGAAGCGCTCACCAGACTCAGGGAACTTTGTCGCCAGTGGCTGAGGCCCGAAAGGCGGACGAAAGAGCAGATCCTGGAGCTGCTTGTGCTGGAGCAGTTCCTCACGGTGCTGCCCGGAGACCTGCAGAGCTGGGTGCGGGGCCAGCGGCCAGAAAGCGGAGAGGAGGCAGTCACCCTCGTGGAGGGTTTGCAGAAACAACCCAGGAGCCCAAGGCGGTGGGTGAGGAGGGGGAGTCCTGACCTGTGTGGCGCGGCGGGCGCACGGGCCTCGTGTCTTGCCTTCCGGTGGAACGGGCTCTGCCCAGGGCTGCTCTTAATCCTGGAGCCCTGGGAAGGGCTGAGCGCGCGCCTGTCATCGCGACTTGCTGGGGTTCACTGAGGGTCTTCCTTTGTCTTTGCATTTCTTTCTTTGGCTTCCTGGGAGGGGGGTTTTGTGACTTCCATCAAAGGTTATCCCAAACTCAGCCTCCACCTGCCATCCGGGAGGGAGGCGGGAAGCGGTGAAGGCTGGGGTGAGGTGGGAGGGGCCTCACGGTGTGCTGGGATGTGGGAGCAGGGGTGAGGAGAGCAGAACAGTGGCGGTCCGTCCCTCTGCCCGTCCGGGTGGGGTGGCTCGGCCCTCACGCGCACTCTCCTGGGCAGCCAGAGCCCCGCCCCCGCCCCCTGGGAGCTTTTGCTTGAGCAGCTTCTGAAATGACCGGAAGTTTCCTTCTGACCGCGTGGTCACTGGAAGTTGGGCTCCTCCCCAGGTGACTGTCCATGTTCAGGGCCAGGAGGTCCTGTCGGAAGAGACGGTGCACCCAGCACAGAGCGCCATCCAGAGTCCAGACCAGGGGGCAGCCGAGCAGCGGAGCCCTTGCCGTGAAGAGGGGCTGCCGCCCCCACAAGAGAGCGGTGGGCAGCCTGGGCGGGAGGAGCTGGGTGCTCCCGGCCTGGGCAGGAGGGGCTGGGTGCTCCCGAGGCTGGGCGGGAGGGTGCTCCCGAGACTGGGAGGTGGTGGTGGGAAGAAGTCTGGACACTGGCTGGGAGGCCCCCCGCGTGGGCCGGCTCCACAGCATGCGGCTGTTATTTGTGCTCATCACTCTGCTGGTCGTGTAGGTGGTGGCATTGGGGTGTCTGGGTTCCCCTCAGAGGGAGTTTGGGGCAGTGCTCAGCTTTGCACTGTGTCTCTGATCTCTGCCGCCTTTTCTTCTTAGAGGTGCCAGCGCCCCAGGAGCCGGGCCCTCCCGTGGAGAGGGGCCTGGGAGACCCCAGCATGGCCGCCCTTCTCGCCGCGCTCTCTCAGGTGCGACCAACCCCTTCGTGCCTTGCCGTGTGCCGAGCGGCCAGGGTGGGCTGCGCCGCTCCGTGTGAACTCTGTGTGTGCTTAGAGCCAGCGAAGCGGGGCAGCGCTCCGTCTTTACAGATGAACGTGTTAGCTGTTTGTAGGGAGGGCTGGCGGCACTGCCGAGACAGACTGAGTGACAGCATTGAGCAAGGTTACACAGGGATGTTACACAGGGATGCCCAGAGAGGAAAACCTGAAGACAGGAAGGTAGAATTGCTTCAGGCATAGAGGGGCGTGAGTGACAGCTTGTAAACCCTGAGGAAGAGGAAGCGCGGTCGGCCCTGGGGGAGGGCAGCCTTGTGGGGGAGAGCAGCCTTGTGGGGGAGAGCAGCCTTGTGGGGAAGGGCAGCCTTGTGGGGGAGGGCAGCCTTGTGGGGGAGGGCAGCCTTGTGGGGGAGGGCAGCCTTGTGGAGTAGCGGGCGCAGGGCCTGGGCGTCCCTGAAGGCTCTGGGTGGGGCAAGGGAGCCGCGTGGCTCCGCGGTGGAGAGCAGGAGGCTGCCTGACATGTCAGGTTCTGAGTGGGCCGCGTGTGTTGTTCCAGGGGCTGGCCACCTTCAAGGATGTGGCCGTGTACCTCTCCCAGGAGCAGTGGGGAGACCTGGAGCCCACACAGGAGTTCTACGGCGAGTACGTGCTGGAAGAGGACTGCGGCATCGTGGTCTCGCTGTGTAAGCAGCTCCCCGCGGCTCCCTCTGTCTCCCTCTGCCTGCCCCGAGCAGAGGTCTTCATTGGAAAGTTGGGGTTACTCCGGCATAGCCAAGCAAAGGTTTTTAATGGAAATTTGGGGTCATGTGAGCAATTATAAGCACTGAACTTAAGATTTTTTATACCAATGAGATCAAAGGAATAATTAGCTGAAGAGCCTGCTTCCAAGGGAAACGATTGGGAAAGCAGATGGAACCTCATGAGAGCTAGAGGCTACGCTAGAGCCTGAATATAGAGACCATGGAAGGAGAGATGATCTAACCCGCTTTCCTCAGCGTGGGGGAGGAGTAAGATCTGCAGTGGTTTGATGATTGAAAGGCAAGAGAGGCTCCTCAGCCTAGGCACTTGGGCTGAAGAGACCAAAGATCTGACTGACCAACTGCACTGACCAGGGCCCTCCGGGCTCACTCAGGATTCCTCTCCCCTCTCTCGAGCAGCGTTTCCCATCCCCAGACTCCAGGACACCACACTGGGAGAGGGGGAGCCGCAGGTCCCAGATGACCAGGAGCTGGAGGAGCCGGAGATTCTGAGCTTCACCTACACAGGTGAGGAGTGGGGCACTGCCCGGGGCCTCGCCCCGTTGTTTTTGTCTTTTGAGCTGTTTCGGGATTGCTGTGTTTTCTATTTGAGCCGAGGTCTTACCATTTCGTGATCCCCACACTGGGATTACAGGTATGCACTGGGACACCAGGCTCATTGCTTCTAAGAAGTCTGTCATTCCTGCCATTGTCCTCCTCTTCACCCCCCCCACGCCCCCCACTGCCAGGCGGTGCAGAAAGAATCACGACTAGCCTGGAATCGGCTCCGCCCTTCACTGCTTGAACCTTTACGTGTGTCCCTGCTGACAGGTCGTGACAGGCACCTGCCCGGACAGGCTGCCTGAGGCTGGCGATGCCTTCTGCAGTCTCCTCCCCACCGGTGCCCTTCCAGCGCCTCGTGTGGAAAGCGCTGCGCGAGCCGTTGTAACGCCTGCTTTTCTCCCCTCACTCTTGTGTAGGAGACAGAAGCGGAGATGAGCACGAGTGTGCAGCACAAGAGGGCGGGAGCGCGGAGGACACGCGCGGGCCCGCCCGGGGAGACCAGGCGGCCGCCCGGACTCCAGACTGCCAAGTGGTAGTTGGGGACAGCAGGGATAGACTTCACAAATGGAGACTCGGGGGGAGAAATTCTCAAGTAAGTGGGGTCACGAGTCTTGAAGACACGCCCGCGCCCCCCGTGTCGGAGCAGGGCCGTGGCTGCCCCGTGTGCGGGAAGAGCTTCAGGTGCAACTCCCACGTCATCAGACACCTGAGAACTCACACGGGCGAGAGGCCCTACAAGTGTGTGGAGTGCGGGAAGAGCTACACGCGGAGCGCACACCTGGCCCGACACCAGAAGGTGCACAGACGCGCGCACAAGCGCCCGCCGCCGCCGCGGAGGCGTGGGGAGGAGGCCGCGGGCCGCAAGGAGAAGCCCTACGCGTGCGGGGACTGCGGGAAGTGCTTCCGCTGGGCCTCGGACCTGGCCCGGCACCGGCGGACGCACACCGGGGAGAGGCCCTTCCACTGCAACACCTGCGGCAAGAGCTTCGGCCAGAAGTCCGTGCTGGTGTGCCACCAGGCCACCCACCGGGACAAGCCCTACGTCTGCTGCGAGTGCCGGGAGGAGTTCGGGGACCACCGGAGCTTCCTGGCCCACAGAGAGGTGCACGCGGTGGTCAGGGAGCTCAGCCTCAGCCAGCACAGCGACGCCGAGGAGCGGCGCTTCCCCTGCCCGGCCTGCGGGAAGGGCTTCAGCAGGAAGTACCACCTCAACCGCCACCGGAGGACCCACGAGGAGAAGACCTAGCCCCCACCCCTCTGCAAATGGACTCCACCTGCTGCGATTCTGCACCCCTCCCACCAGCACCCCTCACCCCCCACCCCCGCCAAGCACACCCTGAACACAGGTGACAGGTGACGGTTCCCAGGGTCGGGTCAGATGGTCAGGCGGTGATAGCCACAGCGATAGTGATAGCGGTGTGTGGCCACGCCGAGCGGGGCGGCGGCGGAGCCTTAGTGCCACCCACAGCGGCCAACGGCGGGGCCTGGCTGGCTGGCTGGGGCATGGCTGGCTGGCTGGCTGGGGCATGGCTGGCTGGCTGGCTGGGGCATGGCTGGCTGGCTGGCTGGGGCATGGCTGGCTGGCTGGCTGGGGCATGGCTGGCTGGGGCCTGGCTGGCTGGCTGGCTCGGCGGCGCCTGCAGCTTTCTTAAAGCACACAGCCCTGAGCTCCGCACGGGCGCTCGCTCGGTGCCCCACCACCTCGCCACACGGCGCCGCCATCCCTCTGGCCCCGCTCTTGTCTTGTCTTGTCGTGATGCTGGGAGCGGGGAGGGCTGAGGGGGGCTCGTCAGCTGCCTCTTTGATCGGCTGTCTTGTTCTAACTGCTGTCAGCCAACTCAGGCGGGCCTGCCGGCCTCCCCTCCTCCGGCCTCGGCCCGGCGCGCCGCCGGGGTGAAGGGCTTTCCCGCCGGGGTGAAGGGCTTTCCCGCGTCTGTGTGTGGCTGGCTTTTGCTTCGTGACTTCAGTTTTCTGTAGAACCAAGCAGTGCCTCGGGGCAGGCCGCGGGCATGAGGGGAGGGCAGCTGGGAGCCGCCTGTGTGGAGGGCGCGGGGTGCTCCTCAGGGCCGGCTCCTGTGCCCCGCTTTTAACCTGTTCCACAGTCCGGGGCTCCGCGTGTACCACACGCGTCCGAGCAGTCCACTAAGGGAAGTCGGTCGTGGTGGGAGGCGCGGGCCGCATTTGAACACCAGGCAGCCGCAGCCCTTGCGGAAATACAGTTGAAATAAAATAATCCTCACAGCCACGTGAGCTCGTTTTCTGGTGCTTTCCATTTTGTCCACTCACTTTCCAGGCCTTCCTATCCTAATGCGTATGAAGCTCCTCCTCCTTACAAATAGATCTCCGAGTCCAGAATGTTCCACCAGCACAGTGACAGTTGGGAGTCTGTAATGCATGTTAAGACGTGGGTCTTGCCTTTGGCTAGGGAAGCGTCTGCTAAGCAGGCGCAGGTCCACACAGCACGGTGCGCACAGTCTGCCCTGAGATGTCCCAGCGCCAAAGGGAAGGGCTAGGGCCGGTCTGGTTGGTTGGAACACCAGTTGGAACACCACCTTCACTTCCCCGACAAGGTCTCAGATGCAGACAGTAGATCTTGGTCCTCTGTGACCCGCTGGAGTTTCCCTTCCGGAAGGGTGTGTCATCTCCCGTGTCTGCAGCAGCGGGGCAGGGACCTGGCATAGCAAAGGAGCAGCAGTTGTGTTGAGCAACAAACTCAGTGTTGTTAGAAATCAGGTTCATCTTTGAGACCGTCTTTCTCAGTCTCCCAAGTGAAGAGGTTGCAGGAATATGCTCCTGTGCCCATCTCAGAATTAAAATTGACAAGGGCATTAGACCAGCATAGACCGGCAAAGAATCACTCAATCCCTGTGAGCAAGTACCACCAGAAATGCCAAGAGATGGAGTCAGCCTATGTGTGTGTGTGTGTATTGTGTGTGTACGTGCGTATGTATGTGTGTGTACGTGTGTATGTGCGTGTGTGTACGTGCGTATGTATGTGCGTGTGTGTGTGTGCGTGCATGTGTGTGTGCGTGCGTGTGTGTGTGTATGCGTGTGTGTGCGTGCATGCGTGTGTGTGCGTGTGTGTATGTGCGTGCGTGTGTGTATGTGCGTGCGTGTGTGTATGTGCGTGCGTGTGTGTATGTGCGTGTGTGTGTGCGTGCGCGTGCGTGTGTGTGCGTGCGTGTGTGCGTGCGTGCGTGTGCGTGCGTGCGTGTGTGTGCGTGCGTGCGTGCGTGCGCGTGCGTGCGTGTGTGCGTGCGTGCGTGTGTGTGTGCGTGCGTGTGTGTGTGTGCGTGCGTGTGTGTATCCCAAAGCAGACCTGGGTGCATCCACCTATTTGCTAAGCGTCTGTGTACACCTGCTGTGTGCCCTGCATGGCATTAAGCCCACACAGGCCCTGGGCAGGCATCTGCAGCTGTGTGCAAATCCTGCCTCTGTCATGGGCAACCTGGGGCGCATGGGTTACTTCACACTTCTAAGGCTTCTGTGGGTAAAATGAGGACACTTGTAGATCACTAAGAAGCCAATCTTCGTATTGGGACCAAAGCCCCAGGCTCCCGGAGCCCTTGAGAAAAATGAAGCAGGATCCCCGCTTTGTCAAACGTGTAGTTTAAGAACTCACCACTAGAGGGCTTACCAGAGACTCCCTGGCTGCTGTGACTTGGGGTCTGCAGATCCAGTCTCCCAAGTGAAGAGGTTGCAGGAATATGCTCCTGTGCCCATCTCAGAATTAAAATTGACAAGGGCATTAGACCAGCATAGACTGACTGGCATCCCGTGTTTTAAAGCTTCCTGGCGCTGCACCAAACTTGCAAGAGGTGCACATACAAAGATGTCTAGTGCGGACACAAGGGTCTGCCAGACCAGAGCCCTGGCCGCACCCGAGCTGGGAGGCTGCGCAGCGCAAGCGGGCGATTTGTGCCACGTTCTTCCCTCTCCCTTCCTCCACTTACCTGTCCGTGACCTGTCCCACCCACCTCGGCCTCCTTGCACCCCTCCCTGCATGGGAGGGCCGGCACCGTGCGGGTTCTGCAGGGCGCTCAGGACTCTGGGCCACTCTGGGGTCATGCGCATCCCCAGTGAGTGACGCCCTCCCCCCTCCTCCCCCCTCCTCCCCCTCCTCCCCCCTCCTCCCCCTCCCCCCTCCTTCCTCGCGTGTGATAAGCTCAGGGCTTATCATCCTCACAACTTTTTTGCTCAGGACTGATGCTCTACCGCTTGAACCAGACCTTCATTCACTTCCTTAAAACATTAAACCAGACTCTGACTCTCCCACATGCTCAGGATGGCACACACACACTCCGCTTTGTGGCCTTTCCTCGTGCCAATTCTGTCTGTCTGTCCCTACTCTCACCTATATATATATACATATATATATGTACACACCCACACATATATATACAGATACTCGCACGCACTTATGTGTTTGTGTTGCCTGTGTGCAAAAATAATCACATTTTCTTGATCCGCTCGTCCATTGTAGGATGGTCTGGGCTGTTTCCATAACTTGGCTATGGTGAAAATGTTTTTTTCGTTTTTTAAGGTAGTTTTATGGTTAAGGTGTTAAACAGAAGCATTGCTGTTTGATGAAAAAAATTATGTAGGACCATCTTGTTGTGTGTGAAGCCCAGTGAAGTCCGGGGCTCCCCTGGCCCGCTCTGCAGGGGCGTGCACTCAGACAGCTAAGGCCGGTCTTTGCTTTGAGCAGCAAGCTTCGGAGCACCCATCTTCCGATCCTGGCTATCTGTTAGGTCTGGCACACAGCAAATGCTCAGGAGTAGGTATTGAACAGTAAATGAGTGAACGGATGGGAGGATGGATGGATGGGTGGACAGCTGCCTCCTGTCCACCTTGCAAGCCCACAAGAGCCTCCCGGGCCTGGAATCCACCTCGGGATCCTCAGCACTGACCACCTTGGCTGTAACGCTCAGCTTTTGAAATGTAAATAATTGCTGAAGAAGTTAAAAGTCCCGCCACTCAAAACAGTAAGTGTCAAAACATGAAAGTAAATATAGAAAACCTAAAGTAATCTGGGCTGTAATTTAAAAGTCGTGTATAAGAAAAACCTCAGGGGCTGGGAAGGTGGCTCAGTGGTAGAGTGCTTGCCTTGCATGCATGAGTCCCTGGGTTTGATTCCTCAGCACCACATAAGCAAAAAGAAAAAAAAAGCCAGAAGTGGCGCTGTGGCTCAAGTGGTAGAGCGCTAGCTTTCAGGTGAAGAGCTGAGGGACAGCGCCCAGGCCCAGAGTTCAGGCCCCACGACCGGACCAAAAAAAGAAAAAGAAAAACCTCAGAGTGAGTCCATTGCCTCCAATCCCCCTCCTTCACTCCGGACACCAGGTGGCGACATTTTGCCACCATCTTCAGAGTCCCAGACATGAATTCATTAAATGTCCAGGAGGAGAGTTAAGGTGGGCACTAAAAATTCGTAAACGAAGATCTTGAATATACGAAGAGCTTGTCATCTGTTGGGTCAATAGGTATATAGGTAATCTAAAAGTAAAATAAGGATGCTACAAAATAACGTTTTAGAAGAGTAAAGGCTTCTCCGTTCACAGGAGAGAATCAAAAACAACCAGAGAAGTGGTCACCATTACGAACATCCAGACTCTGCAGATTCAGAATCCAACACAGCCCGGGGCCAGTGGCTCGTGCCTGCCGTCCAGCTGCGTGGCGGCCAAGGCCGGAAGGACGGAGCTCATGACCAGCCTGGGTTAAAGCTCACCCCGGCTAGCTGGTGGGAGGCCCAGGTCAGGACCTGCAGGCACCCCTGATGGCCTTGTCCCCACAGGCCTTCTCAAGAGTCCTCAGCCTCAGGAGCTCCAGCGCGGGGCGGGGCTGGAGGAGGCAGACTCGCCAGCGGCCGCCCCGTTCCGCCATCTCAAATCTAATGCCAACAACTGCAGGTCATGGAACTCGCCAGCCATCAACACCCGCATACACAGGCAGAAGAAAAGCATGAGAAACCCACGAATGTGAACCAGGGGTCACTTCAGGACTGGAGCTCAGACTGCGGGGGGGGGGGGGGGGGGGGGCGAAAAGCGTGGTTTCAGCAAAGTCTAATTAAGGCATTGAAGAAAATCCAATTTGGAATGGATTGGGAGGCTGCCTCAGCACCAGGAGATGCTTATCGGAGGCTCAGAGGCCGGGCCAGAGTGCTGGGCCGGGCAGCCCTCCCCTCCCCTCCCCACCCCTCCCCTCCCCTCCCCTCCCCTCCCCTCCCCTCCCGCCTCCTGTCTGCCTGGTCCAGTGTTTCCTGCAACCTCTGCCGTCCTTGCAGACATCTGCTCCATGTATCAGCGGCCTCACCCACGCACGCGGGTGGCTTCGTCTCCGAGCGGCGGCTGTGGAGCCCCCTGCATCTGCATCAGCTGTCAGCCCCGCTGTGGTAACACAGTTCTGCAGCCAGTCCCCCCAGCTCCCTCCCTCTGGGGGCCTGGGGGGGCGTCTGTCCCTCGCCCCCTCCAGCCCCAGTGCTTGCTGCCTCCTCTTCCCGTGCCCTGCTCGCCTTTGCTTCTTGCTTGCAGTGACACACGGGAG